TTGCTTTATTTGTGTATGTTCTGTTAGTTTGGCCTGTTGGAATCCTAAGTACTTGTAGAACTCGCCCTCTTCCATGGATTCAATAACGTCTCCATTTCCAAGTGCAAAATCTTCTTTCTTCAGGATTCCTTCTTCTATGTGAAGTTTTTTGCATTTGTCTAAGCCAAACTCCATTTGTATGTCCTTGGTGTATGAGTGTGTGATTTGTAGGAGTTGATGAAGTTGTTTCTGTGTGGATGCATAAAGTTTTATGTCCTCCATGTACATGAGATGTGAGAGTGTAAACTGTGTTGTTTTTTCATGTCTGATATTTATTATTATTATTATTATTATTATTTACTTAATATCAAATAATAATACTTTTTATTTCTTGGGAAAGAAACTGTCATATTACATGATTATAGAATTATATTCTTCAAACATTAATTAAGTATTGTACTTTGTCTCAGATTTTCACTTTTATAAATTTTCAATATATGATTAAAAGATATTGCATTCAAGACAATTATTGTATGTATAACTTTTGCAAGCTTTTTATATAAACTACTCAATTTTCTTATGAAGAAATGTATAAAACAATATTTGATCAGAGAGAAATCAACTTACTTTTTTTTAACCATCAATGTAATTTTTTCAGACAAAATTTCTCCCTTTCCCCTTAGATTTATCAATTTATAAATTTATTTGATGTTTTTCATAATGAGCATACTTGATATTTATTATAACAGCACGAGCATATCCTGTCAGTAATCACATTTTTTATATGCAAAAATCTTTTAAGTTGTAAAATATCCATTAAGCAAATATAATTTTTATAATTCAATTCTTTATTTCTATGACTTATTTGAAATCTATGTAGAGAATTGCAATTTTATCTTAAGTTTCATCAAACAATTTCTTTTTGTGATTTCACAACTTTACACATAATATAACAGTCTTCATCAACCATTAAAACTTATGGTTTCCAACTTCAAAATTATTGAAGTGAAGAAATATAAATGATAAACATCAATGATTCTATTTGGCAAGATCCTAGTTTGCAATCTTCCTAATAAACAAATAAGCTCTTCAACTGTGGAATCATCCCCAGGCAATTCATTTGTAATCTTGTCCTCCATGACACTACTCACCTTTGTAATCATCTTTTGTTCTCATCTTTGTCTCAAAAAAATGAATTTAATAACTCTTGAATGAGTCTCTTCCCACATTTTCTACCAACCTGACTATCTTGTATGTAACAATAATGTAAGATCAGATATGGAACTCATTACACAGACTCCTATATCCATGCTCTTAATCAGATCTGAATTTTGCAGGGAATTTCAGTTCAGTTTAAACAATAACAAACTATGAGTATGTTTACTTCCATCTTTTCCAGCAGATAGAGAATCTGGGCAGTCTCACTGTCCACATTTCAGTAAAAGTTGTGACTTGGGTTACATACTAGAATCTTACAAGAGGTATTTTGAAAAAAAATTGATGACAAGTTGTTTCTCATAGTTATCATATTACTGTTAAAATCTCTCTTTTCTGTTATAAAACTATTCTCTTATTTTATTTATTATTTTCAACATAATTCCCACAGAGAACAGCTGAAGCATTGAATCCAAATTTTCCCTCATTCATCTTCGGAGAATTTTCTGTTACAGAAGATACATTCAGCATCTTCGTTTTCTGATTCTTTAGTTGATGGCATGAAATCCATTACAGATGATATATTAGAATGGAACGATTCATCGCTGCTAACACTGGAGTCATCTCTAGTAGGTTTAGGTCTAGAAGGTCGGTCTAAGTTTAATTTCTTAACAGGTGGTCTTTGAATTTTAGATTTCTTTTGTTGTTTTGAAGCTTCTGGTTCCTTCTTTTGTCCTTTTCTTTCAGTTTATCCATTTATCCTAGTATTCCATAATACCCGACACGCCATCTTGAAAAATGAACCTTTAAACTAATGGACAAAACATTATCAGCTAAAACAACGACTACAATATAACAAACTACAATTCTTTTAGTGTACATTACGCTTAATATCAATTTTCAAATCACATGTGTACTAGTAGGTTAAAATGTTTGAAAACTTGCCTGCAAAATCTCTTGAAAATCACAAAACACACTTTGTTCTGTAGTGAGTGGTACGACAACAACAAGCGGTCAACTCTCACTGCACTGCATCATGGGAGTCTTTCTTGAGTAGTTAATGGTATTCCCACGTAATAGCAGCAACAAACAGAGCCAAAACCTTGGTATTCCATATTTCCCAACTATTCCACAATACCCTCCTCTCCTCTACATATTTACTATATACTACTAAAGACTATTTCTATTTTCAGTTAAATTTTAATTAAAAAAAATATTGGCTATTCAGTGACTACTTTCGAGTTAGTGACATTTGCATCATGGTGTTTTGCAGTGACACCTCGGAGAGTGAGTTATATTCTTTGTTAACATGTGAAATTAATGTTATTATCAAGTGTCACCAGCAAAGAATAAGATAATTTATTTGATCCTAGTGTTAAGTTATGGAGATAAAAATTAGATTGCATGTACTACATTTTTCTTCTTTGTTTTTTTTTTGAATGACATGACACGTTTTACAGAATGTCCACTTATTAACAGTCCAGTTTTTGGGACTCTATTGTATTATTATTATCATATTTTATGACCAGGAGTTCCTCTAATATTAATTTATTTCGTTTAGAAAAAAAATTTGATTGAATTTATTGTAAGTAACTCTGAACATACTTTGAAGTTAATTCCAGTGTAATCAATTTTTAAATGTTTAACATTATATTAAAATTCTGTATTCAGTAGTTTAGTTTTTCCTGCAGTATATAATAACATTAAATTTACAATTTGTCTAGGATATTTAATATCATTCTGTGGTATTAAAACTATAGCAAACTCATACTGATTAATGTTCCATATGTAATAAATATAAAGAACCTATATTCACAGCAACTTATTTGTTGTATGATGCTTTCAAGTAATCATTCCATAAACTGAATAATAAATTCAAAAATATTTTAAGCAATATATGAATGTGCATTGCATTTACACACTTGTAAAATTTTTTAAATTATTAAAAAACCAATATAAATTATAATTATAATAAACAATATATAAATAACATTAAAACTAAAAAATGCATAAATAAACATAAAATAATTAATTTCTATCTACCACTTTAACTTGTCACATGTTGTTCAAGTATTTTTGTGTCGACCTCATTTGACCTGACCTGTTGACCCTGAATACACTCATTTCTGCATAGGAATGTTTTTGATACTAGATGTCGCTATATCATAATTTTTATATTAAAATGAACTTTTGAAATATACTTTTTTTGTTTTTATATTTTTCAATATATTTATTTTGTTTGTGCAAAATAAAAAAATAATTTTTAACGATACAGTAGCCACGATTATTATTTTAAAAAACTTTTCATTAGGTTTAACATCGACAAAAATTTAACATGGCGGCCACATGCAATGGAAAAATTTCAACATGGGATAGGTTAATATAAAGAAGAAAATTTAGTTAGAATAAATGTGAATATTTTAAATATAAATAAATAATAATGGATATTTATAATCTAAATAGGTTATGATTATCAAAGCAAAGAATACAAATAATAGATGTGAACATTATGGAAAATATCATCATAATCACCAATCCATCCATCATAAAATATAATGATCCTATGAATTTTAAATAATTGGTTAAATTGATTTACAAATAAAATATGAAATAAATTATTAAAATTATCATTGATTTACCTGTTTGTCTTTTTACATGATGAATGATGAGATTAGCTGCATCCTCCAAAATAGTTCTATCTTTATACTGTAGTGTAATATGAGGACCAGAGGGAATTTCACCAGAACATTCTTCAGCTTGCTCATGTTGCTATAATAAAATTTAGTTTATGACAATTACATTTTTTTAAAAATTAAAATCAGTAATTAATCATCATACTAATATTTTAATATAATAAAATATAATGGCATTGTCATAAAGTAATTGATATTTTCAGGAGCAAAACACTAATTTATTTACTCAGAAAACTGGCTAAATAATAAAATTGAACAACATTAAAAAGTATAAGCATTGAACAAGAAAACAAAATGAAGACTGCTCTTTAAAGTTCTAGAATAGAATGATTGAGGAGTTCTTCTTTCCAGTTTTTTAAAGATAAGCATGGCATTCTCTCATTGAATGAAGATCCAGACAATAAAAAAATTTTTGAATAGTATATTGCTGCTAAGCAACATACTATTAAAAAGTTTTAGAAATACTAATATAGCGGAACCTTGCTTAATGAGCATAATTTGTTCCAGAATGTTACTCATGAAGCAAAACACTCATTATATGAAACAATTTTTCCCATATAAATTAATGTAAAATACAATGCGTTCCATGCCGAAAATAATACTCAAATATTTTATCTATAACATTTATTCAGAGAAAATTATACAATATATATTGTTTAAGGACCATGAATCATCTTCATCTTTTCTTCTAGCACAAAATGAACTAACCTGGAATGCAAATCCGATTTGCATAAAACAAAAAAAAAAAAAAAACAAAATACAGTAATTTCTAATATGTAATTATAGCCTTTACATAACCCAAGAATTTGGCATTTCATTTGGCATGTTTATTATATAACAGGCTATGATTGTTTATGTTTATATATAATATGTCTGAACACAAGGTTGAAAAAATGTGTGATCACAAGTGACACTAACAAGGGGACCTTATGGTCTTGGAAATTCAGTTTGGGATGAGACTTCACAGATTAGTAGTATACCTCAAGAGTATCCACCCAGAGGAATTTTAAAGCACACTAGCCAGAAGATTTTGAGAAAAAGGGCTCTAAAGTTTTAAGCACAGCTCATATATTGATTGATTTACACTATGGCAGCACAGCAAAATGGCCGAGTCTGTAGCGAACTTGCTTGCCATGTGGGCAATCTAGTTTCAGTCCTACCTTGGGCTAACTTTTTTTTTTTAATTGTTTTAAAAATTATAACAACTGTTAAATAAAGTTAATGACCTAAAAATATTATCAATTAAATCATAAATACTTTTATTTTATTTATGAAATGGCTGTTACAGCTAATTANTAGTTTCAATCCTACCTTGGGCTAACTTTTTTTTTTTAATTGTTTTAAAAATTATAACAACTGTTAAATAAAGTTAATGACCTAAAAATATTATCAATTAAATCATAAATACTTTTATTTTATTTATGAAATGGCTGTTACAGCTAATTAAAATGTGAATTAAAGATAATATTTTATTTTTATTCAACCTTGTGACATCTATTTTTATAGACAGGTAAAAAAATCTAATAAAGCATAGTATACAAAATTGCACTTATCTGATTGAAAATAATAGAGAAATAAATTCCTGTGAAGACTGTATAAAAATACAATCAGTAGTGCATCATCAACCATCATTGCCAATTTTTAATGAAATGATCTGGTATGCCTAATATGCTTCCAGGGTTTCTGATGAAAGAGAAATTTTCATGGATGTAAATGAAAGAAGTATGTTTTCCAACAGATCTTTTAAAAAAAGGTTGTTCGTGTAAACAATCATCCTTCATAACTTGTGCAAGATGTCAAAATAGTTTTGTTTTCAATGTTTTATGATTATCATCATTATGGTGCTTGTATGTAAAATAAAAAATTGACAAATAAAGACAATATTGTAAAAACTTTTATATAAATAAAACATTACCCAAAAATTGTTATAGTGGTAATTAAAGTTTTAATTTACCTCCATTAAAAATGCATTTGAAATTATTCAACTTTTTAAAAATAAAATATTATCTTTAATTCACATTTTAATTAGCTGTAACAGTCATTTCATAAATAAAATAAAATTATTTATGATTTAATTGATAATATTTTTAGGTCATTAACTTTATTTAAAAGTTGTTATAATNTAGGTTATGATTATCAAAGCAAAGAATACAAATAATAGATGTGAACATTATGGAAAATATCATCATAATCACCAATCCATCCATCATAAAATATAATGATCCTATGAATTTTAAATAATTGGTTAAATTGATTTACAAATAAAATATGAAATAAATTATTAAAATTATCATTGATTTACCTGTTTGTCTTTTTACATGATGAATGATGAGATTAGCTGCATCCTCCAAAATAGTTCTATCTTTATACTGTAGTGTAATATGAGGACCAGAGGGAATTTCACCAGAACATTCTTCAGCTTGCTCATGTTGCTATAATAAAATTTAGTTTATGACAATTACATTTTTTTAAAAATTAAAATCAGTAATTAATCATCATACTAATATTTTAATATAATAAAATATAATGGCATTGTCATAAAGTAATTGATATTTTCAGGAGCAAAACACTAATTTATTTACTCAGAAAACTGGCTAAATAATAAAATTGAACAACATTAAAAAGTATAAGCATTGAACAAGAAAACAAAATGAAGACTGCTCTTTTAAAGTTCTAGAATAGAATGATTGAGGAGTTCTTCTTTCCAGTTTTTTAAAGATAAGCATGGCATTCTCTCATTGAATGAAGATCCAGACAATAAAAAAATTTTTGAATAGTATATTGCTGCTAAGCAACATACTATTAAAAAGTTTTAGAAATACTAATATAGCGGAACCTTGCTTAATGAGCATAATTTGTTCCAGAATGTTACTCATGAAGCAAAACACTCATTATATGAAACAATTTTTCCCATATAAATTAATGTAAAATACAATGCGTTCCATGCCGAAAATAATACTCAAATATTTTATCTATAACATTTATTCAGAGAAAATTATACAATATATATTGTTTAAGGACCATGAATCATCTTCATCTTTTCTTCTAGCACAAAATGAACTAACCTGGAATGCAAATCCGATTTGCATAAAACAAAAAAAAAAAAAAAACAAAATACAGTAATTTCTAATATGTAATTATAGCCTTTACATAACCCAAGAATTTGGCATTTCATTTGGCATGTTTATTATATAACAGGCTATGATTGTTTATGTTTATATATAATATGTCTGAACACAAAGTTGAAAAAATGTGTGATCACAAGTGACACTAACAAGGGGACCTTATGGTCTTGGAAATTCAGTTTGGGATGAGACTTCACAGATTAGTAGTATACCTCAAGAGTATCCACCCAGAGGAATTTTAAAGCACACTAGCCAGAAGATTTTGAGAAAAAGGGCTCTAAAGTTTTAAGCACAGCTCATATATTGATTGATTTACACTATGGCAGCACAGCAAAATGGCCGAGTCTGTAGCGAACTTGCTTGCCATGTGGGCAATCTAGTTTCAGTCCTACCTTGGGCTAACTTTTTTTTTTTAATTGTTTTAAAAATTATAACAACTGTTAAATAAAGTTAATGACCTAAAAATATTATCAATTAAATCATAAATACTTTTATTTTATTTATGAAATGGCTGTTACAGCTAATTAAAATGTGAATTAAAGATAATATTTTATTTTTATTCAACCTTGTGACATCTATTTTTATAGACAGGTAAAAAAATCTAATAAAGCATAGTATACAAAATTGCACTTATCTGATTGAAAATAATAGAGAAATAAATTCCTGTGAAGACTGTATAAAAATACAATCAGTAGTGCATCATCAACCATCATTGCCAATTTTTAATGAAATGATCTGGTATGCCTAATATGCTTCCAGGGTTTCTGATGAAAGAGAAATTTTCATGGATGTAAATGAAAGAAGTATGTTTTCCAACAGATCTTTTAAAAAAAGGTTGTTCGTGTAAACAATCATCCTTCATAACTTGTGCAAGATGTCAAAATAGTTTTGTTTTCAATGTTTTATGATTATCATCATTATGGTGCTTGTATGTAAAATAAAAAATTGACAAATAAAGACAATATTGTAAAAACTTTTATATAAATAAAACATTACCCAAAAATTGTTATAGTGGTAATTAAAGTTTTAATTTACCTCCATTAAAAATGCATTTGAAATTATTCAACTTTTTAAAAATAAAATATTATCTTTAATTCACATTTTAATTAGCTGTAACAGTCATTTCATAAATAAAATAAAATTATTTATAATTTAATTGATAATATTTTTAGGTCATTATAAATAAATTAAAAATAAAAAAAAGAAATTAGCCCAAGGTAGGATCGAACCTAGATTGCACACGTGGCAAGCGAGTTCTCTACAGTATCAACCATTTTGCTGTATTGCCATAGTGTAAAATTGACCAGTATATGAGCTGTGCTTAAAATTTTAGATCCCCTTTTCTCGGAATCTTCTGGCTAGTGTGCTTTACAATTTTTCTGGGTGGATACCCTTGAGGTATACTACTAACCTGCGAAGTCTCATCCCAAACTGAATTTCTGAGACTGTAATGTCCCCTTGTAAGATGCTAGCAGAACAAGTGCTAAACACAGACTGATGTAGCATGTGCACAATCCTGGACTTCCGCTCTCCTCGTCACTCATTATACAAAACATCACTCATTAAGCAAGTCATTTTACAATTTGCTTTGCTAGTTATGCAAATTACTCATTATGAGAGATGCTCTTTAAGCAAGGTTCCATTGTAAATATGAATTCTAAAACAAATAACTTGCATTTTCTGTGAATTTTATAGTAATGTGAAAACAAATTTGTAAGTAATTTCAGTTAACTAAAAATTGCAAATATATTTTCTCAATCATCTTTTAGTTTTTGAAATGAAACAACTATTTTGCTTTCAAATAGCAACTTTGATTACTATAACAACTAAATAATGCCAAATATGAGTTTAAAAAATTATTACATATTTTATAATACAGAATACAATAAATTATGACTAAAACATAATAAAATAAATCATAAATGGATATTATTATGAAACCTACCCAACACATTAATCAAAGAAATAGGCTATATTATTTATTACATTGTATATAGGTTTCCTATTTCTATTTCCACAATTTTAGCAAAAAATCTTTTATATATAGACCAAGTTTCTTTATGTAGTGAGAGTTAGTGAAAATGACGTCATGAGCAGCAATCGCTACACATTGCTGCATTATAGTTTAGAAACACTTTCTGCTTAAGCTAAAATGGATGCCATAATCTATCATTTAATTCCAGTTAGAGCTGAAAGTAGTACTTTAGTTAAAAAACTACAATATTTAAATTATCTATTGGGTTGTTTGGAAAGTAAGTTCGTTTTTTTCTGTGGAAAAAACCTAAAAATTNGATGCCATAATCTATCATTTAATTCCAGTTAGAGCTGAAAGTAGTACTTTAGTTAAAAAACTACAATATTTAAATTATCTATTGGGTTGTTTGGAAAGTAAGTTCGTTTTTTTCTGTGGAAAAAACACAATATTTTTATAATAAATAAATATTTTATTGAATTATATATCAACCATTTTGGTCAAATACCTGTTGTCATTGTTTCTGGTAGTAGCATGATTTCACATTCATAAAAGTTTTGATCGTTGCTTACAAAAAACCGATTCAAGTGATTTTTCACATTGTCATTTCAAGTAAATGTCTTACGGTTAAAAAAAAATTGTATAGACTGGAACAAGTAATAATCCGAGTGTGCTCAATCTGGAGAATATGGTTGGTGTGATATTATGTCCCCTTTAAGTTATAACAGTTTCTGACGAGTTACCAAACTTGTGTGAAATTTGACATTATCGTGATAAAACATTACACCTGTTTTGTTGATCAATTCTGGCCACCTTTTCTGTTTGATGATATTACTCAATTTGTTTACTCGATGGCAGTAGACTTTCGAATCAATTGTTGAATCGTCTGGTAACAGCTCCAAAAAAAAATTTTCTTAAAATCCCACCAAAGATAGCATCTCTCCTTAAGAACATGTGGAACCCATATATCGAGCTTTGAAATGAAACCAATTTGTTTCAAGTACAGTAATCATAAACAGTTTAATTTGACAAATTTAATCTCTTAGTGATTTCACATGTTGTTATTCAGCAGTTTGCTTCAATCAGTACCTTTATTTTGTTTTCATTGGTTTCAACTGGCCATCCAGAACATGGTGCATCTTCAATATTGAAATTGCCAAAACAAAATTTTGTAAACCAGTTTTGGCACTGTCTTTCTCTCAACACATCATCTCCATACATGTACCACAATTTTTTTCTTGCTTGAACAGCATTTTGATTTTTTGGTAATAAAAAAGCAAAATATATTGAAAATGATGCTTTCAATCTTCCATATTTGATGGGACACAAAAAATAAACAATTGAACACAATCAAACAAAATTTTTTTACAAATAAGCCTTTAAATGCTAGCTGTCAAAATATATAATGATAATATGGTTTAGAATGAAAATGGCGAGAAAGATACGACTAATCTGTCTAGTGGTAAAAAAAACGAACTTACTTTCCGAACAACCTAATATCTATATAACCCATTGAACGCGTGTCCGTCCACATAACAGTATGCCAAAAACGGGCACTAGAGGCACCCTAGCGATGATTTTAAATTAACAATAAATTATTTTTATTTGTAATAGGAATTTATTATTTATACCACGGAATGGTACAAATAATTATTATATGCCTTGATTAACCTTGCGCCGCACATTTACAACATCCCATGACTCAGTGAATGTCATGCATTGACTCATGGGAAATTTGTTGAAAAAAATGGCAGATACATTTAAAATCGAGGTTTACAAGCAAAGGTAAATAAACAAATTAAACTATTTTAAAGTATTTATATAATGTTTGATAGGTAGAAATATAGATCTGTATGACACGATTGGGACTGTAACAGAGCTATAGAGCATATTGATAGGAACAAAAAAGTCAAAGGAACCGTGCCTCACGGAAATTTGTAAAGAATGCCCACTAGGGGGCATCCCAGGCTACTAGTGAGATATAAAGAACTGAGCATTTCTCTTTCCGGAAATGTGAGCAAAGTAAAGAGATAGGAGATAGATAATTATATTTAAAATATAGTATTTTCTTATTATTTAGATAACTTTCAGAGTCATTTTAGAAAATTTAATCCTTCTTAATCTTTCCATAATATTTTTATCAACAGTTACTTCAACTTTTTATTTTCACAGTATAATATCACATTATACATACAAGCATCCATCTTGCTTTACATGTGTTTCAGACATAAAAGTTTCTATATCTTTGCTGCAGCAACCCCTTGCAGCAAATGTTTAGAAATGGTTTGCTACATTATAGAGCTTCATTTAGAAATGCTTTGTTGTGTAGCAATTG